TAAATATGCTTTTATTGATTTCAGAGAGAGGAAGGGAGAGGGAGTTAGAAACATCCATGAGAGAGAATCATTGATCAGCTGCCTCTGCATGCCCCCTACTGGGGCTTGAGCCAGCAACCCAGTATGTGCCCTGACCTGGAATCAGATCATGACCTCCTGGACTGAAAATTTTAATAATATATATCTATTATTTTTCATATAAGAAAACATAATGCTGATTCCACTCTGAAAAACAAAATTATAAATGGCCCAAATGAAAAGATGCTAATCAGTGTCATTTATTTGACAATTGTTTAATGAGGGCCTACTATGTGTCTGACATTGTGTTATATGCTTGGTTTAGTGGTGAATAAAACAGACAAAAACCTCTGCCCTCACAGAGCTGACATTCTGGTTGAAAATAGAAAAACAAATGATATTAGGTAAAATATATGTCAGATAGTGAGTATGTCATTCAAAAAATATATAGAATAGGAGGGTCAATACGGCAGTGTAGGTAAACATGGTATTCGCCTCCTCCTATAACCACATCAAAATTAAAACTAAACCACAGAACAATCATCATTCAGAACCACCTGGAATCTGGCTGAACAGAAGCCCTACAACTAGAGAATTAAAGAAGCCACATTGAGCCCAAGCTGGTTTGGTTCAGTGGATAGAGCATCGGCCTGTGGACTGAAGTGTCCTGGGGTTCAATTTCAGTCAAGGGCATATGCCAGGGTTGTGGGCTTGATCCCCAGTAGGGGGCATGCAGAAGGCAGCCGATCAATGATTCTCTCTCATAATTGATGTTTCTATCGCTCCCTCTCCCTCTCTTTTCACAAATGCTGAGAAGGTGGTTGTGTACAAAAGTCTTGGAGACAATAAATAAATAAATAAATAAATAAATAAATAAATAAATAAAGCACAGCTCTCTCTAGTAATAAAAGTAGAACTAATTTTTTTTTTTAAAGAAGAAGCCACATTGAAATCGATAGGAGGGGTGGAGGCACACAACAGCTGGTCCAACATCCAGAAGCGGCAGTTAAACACTGGGAGGGATAACTTGGCTGTGGAGCTCTCCCTACCCCCATGAGGAGTAAAGGGTACCAGCCCCACACCAGACCCCTCATTCCAGGGTTCCAGTGCCGGGAAGAGAAGTCCCTGCAACTTTGGGCTGTAAAAACCAGCAGTCTGGTGACACAGAGACTACTAAAGTCCCAGGCAGCTCCTCTTACAGGGCCTGCACACAGATTTACTCGGACCCACTCTCTCTGAGCTCCAGCACTGGGGCAGCAGCTTGAAAGGATCCAAGGACAGACAGGGAGGAACTAAATTATCTGGCATCAGGGCAAGAACTGGGGGGCAATTTTCTCCCAGAAAAAGTGCTGGCAGAGGTCACTGTTCCATGGCTGAGACCACAGAGCTGATAGGCAGGAGCCATATCTGTGTCTTCATCAACTTGGTCCATACTGTTCACTCCACCTTGGTGATATCCTAAGGCCCTGCCCCACCTAAGCTGTTTGCAGGGGCTTTTCCATATGAATTGCCTGTCCTGACTCAGGCTTCAGTCTTTTCTAAAATCACTCAAACAAGCAGCAGCTGCCCTCAGCATGCTCTATACCACTCAAGAAGTGGCCCTATGCCCCATTTCTTTAGATAAGAGCCCCTAGGCCCCACAGTAGCAGCAGCATTCCAAGGTTCACAGCTTGGCCTCTCCTGGATATCTCCAAGCCTGACACACATAGCAGCCATCTGCAGATCACTCTGTAGCTTATGCTGGGTGGCACCAAACAAGGCACAGGCAGTAGCTGACTTTGAACCTTCCAGGAGGCCTCCGAGCCAGTGCACCTGGTGATCAGCTTCAGACCACCCCAGATTACAACCCTACCACATCCACAAGCAGCACACTCAAGGAGCAGACTTGGTGAGCACCAAAGATGCACTGGAGCAAGTCCTGCTCCATAGAGGCATCTCTTGCACAGCAGCTCTTTAGCTATAGTCGCAGCTGGCATTCACAGGCAATTGGCCTGGGGGTCAATCCCTCCCAGTGATGGCAACAGCAATCAAGGCTCAGCTACAATAGGAAAGTGCACACAGCCCACAAAGAGCACACCTAGAGTACCCAGCTCAGGTGACTGAGGGAGGGTGAACCACTGGGCCCTATAGGACACCTACTTTACAAGGCCACTCTATCAATTACAGGAAACACAGTAGCTCTACCTAATACACAGAAACAAACACAGGGAAGCAGCCAAAATGCGGAGACAAAGAAACATGCCACAAATGAAAGAATAGAAGGAATCTTCAGAAAAAGTACTAAATGAGATGGGAGCAAGCAAACTACCAGATACAGAGTTCAAAACAATGGTTATAAGGATGCTCAAGAAACTTAATGAGAACTTCAAGGAACTTAGTGAAAACATCAACTACATAAAAAAGGACCTGCCAGAAATGAAGGATACACTAACATTTTGAAATGAAGAATAATTTACAGGGAATCAATAGCAGAATAGAGGATACCAAGAATCCAATCAGCGATTTGGAATATGAGGACGCAATAAACACCCAATCAGAACAGCAAAAAGAAAAAGAATCCAAAAATATGAAGATAGTGTAAGGAGCCTCTGGAACAACTTCAAGTGTACCAACATTTGCATTATAGAGGTGCCAGAAGGAGAATAGAGAGAGCAAGATACTGAAAAACTATTTGAAAAAATAATGACAGAAAACTTCCTCTACCTGGTGAAAGAAATAGACTTACAAGTCCAGGAAGTGAAGAAAGTCCCAAACAAGATGAATCCAAAGGGGCCCACACCAAGACACATCATAGTTAAAATGCCAAAGGTTAAAGACAAAAAAAAGAATCCTAAAAAGAGGAAAAAAAAAAAGCAGTTACCGACAAAGGAGCACCTATACAACTGTCAGCTGATTTCTCATCAGATACTTTTCAGCCAGAGGAGAGTGGCAAGAAATATTCAAAGTGATGAAAAGCAAGAACCTACAACCAAGACTACTCTACCCATCAAAGCTGTCAGTTAGAATTGAAGGTCAGATAAAGAGCCTCACAGACAAGAAAAAGCTAAAGGTGTTCATCACCACCAAACCAGTATTACAAGAAATGTTGAAGGGTCTTCTTGAAGGATCTTACATTCCAGCTGAGTAGACAATAAAAAATAAACCTAACAAATAAATTATATAGAAAAAAAGAGCAGAGTTAAAGATATTGGGATGTCTATGAAGAAACAGGTTGGAATTTTTTAAACAGGTGATCAGGGAAGTCCTCAATGAAAGGAGCCCGTTCAGCAAAGACTTAAAGGAGGGAGCAAGTCAATCTTATAAAAATCTGGGAAAACACACCAGGCAGAAGATACAGCCTTATAGCAAAGGACCTAAAGACAAAAGATGTCAGCTAAATTCTAAGGAATAGTAAGGAGACTAGTGTGGCTGGAGCAGAGGGAGGGAGGGATAAAGTAGTAGGAAAATATACAGAGAAAAATAAAGCAAGCAGAGAAAAGAGGGAGGGGTGTGTGTGTGTGTGTGTGTGTGTGTGTGTGTGTGTGTAGGGGGCTTAAAACTTAAATAAGCTTTACCTTTGCCTTCCACATGGTAAGTTTTGAAATATTTTTCATTGACTGAATCACATACAAAGGTAAAAATAATGACAGAAGCTACCAGAGATCCAGTCTAATAATGACCCCTATGTGAATTTAAAATATAAATTCTATCAAGAAACTGGTAAAGGTGAAACTGCAACTTTGTTTCTTCATGTTTCAAAATGTTGTGTTCAATTATCTGGGAAACACCTTATTAAGACATTAATGACAAACAACTCAAAATGAGAAGATAAAAGGAAGCATATAGTTGTGGTGGTTTTCAAATGTCCACGAACTCTAATATTCCTTCCTTCAAAAAATGGAGCTTACCTGCCCTCCCCTTAAGTGTGGGCTACACCTAGTGACACATGTCTAATGAACAGGATGTGGTGGGAGTGCTGGTGCACAGCTTGTGGATCATCACAGGCATTACCGATTCCTCCTTGCTGTCTCTCTTGGATTACAGGCTTGGAGACAAGCCAGCTGCTGTAAAGACTATATCAAACGACCCGAGGGAGAGGTCCACCTGGCGAGCAACTGAGGCTTCCTGCCAAAAGCCAATGGCCATCTGAGTAAGGCATCGTAAAAGCGAATCTTCCAGGACAGTCAATCAATGACTGCGGCCGAACCATCATTTTGATAACAATTCCTAAGAAACCATGGACCAGAACCACTCAGCTAAGCTGCATTTGACTGGGAGATATAAATGTTTGTCACTTAAGGCCATTAGGGTTTAGGGGTAATTTGTATGATAGCAATAGATAATACAATGCTTAATGCTCAAAACATTTTTATGGAATAAATGATGGAAGAAGTTCCTTTTTAAAAAGCTGACCTTTAAAAAATGACTAAAAGTAATCTCTTCCGAGTAAATAAATATAATACCATCTTTCTCAATTCCACATAAACGAACAGTAGCTTAAACATCAGACTCTACCTCCACATATCCAGAGCATAATGTCAAGGAGTATAAGAACCCAAATATTCTTAGTTCTCAAATTAGAAATTCTCATTTCAAACCTCATCCCACAAGTCAGACAAGGAACCTCTCCCAGTAACAGGGTAGCTGAACTGCACGCCCAGTGATGTGAGGAGGAGGACAACAGGCACTAGCATTCAGTTCCCCAACATTGGTCATGCATCTTCTATTTCCCCGTGTACCTGTAACCCTCGCCTACTGAGGTTGATGACTTCAGGTCAGGGCATTCTATCAACCCGAAGGACCTATATCCATTTTTCTCTCTCTTTTTCAACTTTCCAATGTTTTCCCTGCATCAGCAATGCTATCTCTGCTCTAAGACCGCTACTCACCTTTACCCCGAATAGTTTTCCAATTCGCAAATATACCAAACGTTCCACCTTATATATGGATATGTATTTCCAAGAAACACTCTTTTGTGAGCCAGGCAGAATTTCCACCTGTGAGTTTAAGGTAAATCCTAGTTCTTTTATTTTTGACATTTTCCATTCCTGAAACTCTCCTTTGATAGCAGAGCATTTACCCTGACAGAGTAGTCACTCTCTCTAGAATGCAGATCCTAAAACATTTTAAAACTGATGACTTCTAAACTGGGCACTCTCTTCATGGGATTTTGGCCAACTAGACTGCCCTGAGTCTGGGAAAGAGTGCAGTAAATTCTTAATTTGAAGAAAAAGCAGAGAAGGTATAATAAAACATAAATCCAGCATTTTTTAATTTTATAATTTATATAATTGAGTCTAAACTCAACTTACCATTAAAATGTAAGTAAAGAATAATATTCTTACAGTAACAATGTAAACAAAAGAATTTATTGAAAAATGTTTAAAATATTCAAGCTGTTTTTAAGTGTCTTTCAAATAGTTTAGTAGCATCCATGACAAGATAATTAACAAATTAAAATCATATCATCCTTATCTACTCTCTCAATTAGCTGTGCTAAGAACCTCCTCAAGGAAGCATTGGTAAAGAAGATTGTGTTCTTACATTAAAGGAATAAACATCACAATTTAAATAGACTTTTTACTCATTTAGATTCACTTATCCTTTCTAAATAACTGCGGTAACTGCATATAAACAAATACCATCCTAGAGTTCATTAACTGGGCTGTTATATTTCAAATTACTGTAACAAATAATGCCTTCGATAACACACGTTTTCAGCCTAATCATTTAATTAAGTGCTTTATCATACGCTACCAACAGGAGTATATAATATGCTACCAAGAGTACATTAAAAGGATGTTTAAGAAATAACATGGCCCTAGCTCAGTGGATAGAGTGTCAGTCTGTGGACTGAAAGATCCCAGGTTTGATTCTGGTCAAGGGCACATGCCCAGGTTGGGGGCTTGACTCCCAGTAGGGGGTGTGCAGAAGGCAGCCCATCAATGATTCTCTCATCATTGATGTTTCTCTCTCTCCCTCTCCTTTCCTCTCTCTGAAATCAATAAAAATTTAAAAAAAGGAAATAGCATGTAACAACACTTAGCTTTGGGAAACTATGTTATTACAGACACAGTTTACTAATTTGGTGACTAATAAAATCAAGTCAAGCACATTCACACGATATTTAAGAATTCAATAGGTTGCTTTTCAGCTTTCAAATCCACTCTGTGTTTTGCTTGTAAACCATCAGTAGCAATGTGAAACAAAAATGTCATTTTATAATAGCGTTGAAAATCCCAGTTTCTAAATTTCATGGCAGAGTATTAAATCTCAATCAAGAAAGATGTTACCAAAATGTCAAGTAGCTACAGCAATTAGAATAATGTGGCAGTGGCACAGAAACAGCAAATGAATCAATGAGACCAACCAGCTCAGAACTGTGTCCACACACATTTGTGAATTCAGCAGCTGCTAAAATGGCACTTCAAATCAGTGACTAAAGAAAGCACTAGTTGACCCTACCTCATACTAGAACAAAAAAATTCCCAAGGATTATAACTTTTTAAAAAAGTTATTTAAAAGTATTAAAAGAAAACTTTAGAAAATATTCTTGTAGTTCTTTAAGTGACAAGGCCTTTCCAAACCAGAGTCAACATGAGGCTAAGTACAGAGGATTTCAGGGCAGTGAAACTACTCTTTTTGATAGTATAATGGTGGATAAATGTCATTTTACATTTGTCCAAACCCACAGAATGGTCAACACCAAGAGTGAACCTAAATGTAAACTATGTAAAAATGATGTGTCAATGTAGGTTCATCCATTGTAACAAATGCACCACTCTGATAGGGGATGTTGATGATGGTGGAGGCTATGCATGTGTGAGGGCAGGGAGTATATGGGAAATCTCTATACCATCTGCTAAGTATGAATTTATTTATTTTTTAAAAATATATTTTTATTGATTTCAGACAGGAAGGGAGAGGGAAAGAGAGATAGAAACATCAATGATGAGAGAATCATTGATCAGCTGCCTCTTCCATGCCCCAAACTGGGGTTCGAGCCCACAACCCGGGCATGTGCCCTGGGCATGTGCCTTGACCGGGAATTGAACCATAACATCCTGGTTCATAGGTTGATGCTCAACCACTGAACCACACCTGCTGGGCAGTTTTGCTATGAATTTAAAACTGCTCTAACAAATAAAGTCTATTCAGATTTTTAAAAGGAAGAGGAAACCTCTAAAATAAAACAATCAAAATATTGACAACTATGACTACAAATAAATTTTAAACTTTGGTTAAAAAAACTTTTTCTAAAGTGTGAAATATACAGTGGATGTGATACAAACAGAAAAAAAGAATGGGGACACATACATCTTGTTTGTAGCTATCTGTGTAGAGAGAAGGAATAGGGAGGAGGAGAAATGTTTGACATACAGAACATTATTATTGCTTGAAGTGTTCACCATTACACATCTTAGGAAATTTTCTTAACAAAAATTTTAAAAGAAAAAATGTAAGATACAAAACAATTTAATTCATAGAATATAAATTTAAATATAATGTCAAGTCTAAAAAACTTTCAAATGATATAAATGAGAATGTCACTTTTTTCTTTGCATTTAATAATTACATGATATTTAAAGTAGAATTAAAATATTGATCAATAGTCAGATGTTAACTAGAATTATTGTAGTCATTTCACAATATATATATATTGAATCATTATGTTGTACACCTGAAATTAATATAATGCCATATATCAATTATACATCAATTTTTTAAAAAAAGCCTATCAGTGGTAAGTCTAATACCTTGGCTTCTTCAAGTTCCTTGTCGGCAGTATCCACCACAAAATTTTTCTGTCTTTCTAATTGCTCTGCTAATTGGTCAACTTTAATCAATTCTTTGCAAAGGTGCTCATTGTGGCTGGTTAAATTGTCTATTTGATTGCTTACCACCTCCTTACTATTCACGAGGTTTCTAACATATTCTTTCAAGGCATGATTTGTCTGCTTGAGATCTTCAATCTGTATAATTAGAAAGAAAATAATCACATTAAAATATGTCCTTGGCTTCCCTCTGAGGAGAACAACTAGATGGCTGGAATCAGAAAGGTAGATTTGCTTCCCTGGCAAGGAGACCTAACTATGTATCTTTCTTTACTTTATGAATTTTGTGCCATGTGAATATTTTCCTTATCTGAAAAAAAAATATCCTATATAATAAAAGGCTAATACACAAATCAACCAAACGGTGGAACGACTGGTCGCTATGATACACACTGACCACCAGGGGGCAGATGCTCAACTCAGGAGCTGCCCCCTGGTAGTCAGTGCGCTCCCACAGGGGGAGCGCCGCTCAGCCAGAAGCCAGACTCATGGTTGGCGAGCACAGTGGCAGTAGTGGGAGCCTCTCTGGCCTCCGTGGCAGCGCTAAGGATATCTAAGCTGTCAGTTGGACATCCCCTGAAGGATCCCGGTCTGTGAGAGGGCGCAGGCCAGGCTGAGAGACCCCCCCCCTCCCGCCCTGAGTGCAGGAATTTCGTTCACCATGCCTCTAGTACAAATAAAAATCAAAAGATTAAGATCTATATCTTTCAAGATAATTTACAGTTTAATAAAAAAGAACTTAATTACTATTGATTTTTAACCAAACTATTAGAAAAATTGCCAAATATTTATATCTGCAAAAAGAAACCACGGTCTTAAAATTATTTAATTATAATAATTAATATAATCAATAGGCATTCTTTATAATTTAATTTCTATTTATTAAAAAATATGCTAATTCTTTAGAAAAGACCTTTTGAACATATCAATAACTTACTTGACTAAGCTAAATACCAGATCAATCAAGTATTTGCTGATTAATACGGAGGACCACAGCTTTCCTTCCCAGCCCACTATCAAACCATCAAGGGATGAAGAAAAGGGCCTTTCTATCACGAAGGTGTCCAAATGCCTTTAAAGGGGAAAATACATATGTTAGACCCAGTGGACAATGATTATATGTTGGGAGCTATGTTAAATTCCAAATATACAAAGCTAGGTTAGGTACCTGCCCTCGGAGAACTTACTGTTTACTTGAGAAAATACAAATACAATATGTGAAGTGCCACAAAAGACATGTCTATGAGATAAAGTAGTGGCACAAAGATCCTTTCCCATAATATTTGACTCTCATTGTATATTTAACAATATTTATTGAACACCAACATATTCAAGGCACTGTTTCAGTACACTCTGGAATGTGTGAGATGACAAATGAAAAAAGTCTTGGTCTTTAAGGAGCATCTAAAATTGCTAAATCCCTCATCTAATTGTTAGTTCTAACATTATTCTTGCTCTGACTTTGAACTTTTCAAATAACTATAGAGACAGTTCTTTCCAATCCATGAAAATCAACAGTTTTCTTTAAAAACATAAACTTTATCTATAATTCGTCACTATATAAAAAAGTATCCTAAACATTATGAGTTATATTTAACTATACTACAATGACTTTTATTTTACTCAATACATACCTAGAAGGACCATAAAATCGAGCCTACAACTGAGGCATGTACCCTACTGGGAATCGAACTGTGACCTCCTGGTTAATAGGTCTACCCTCAATCACTGAGCCACACCAGCCGGGCTCCCTTTGGCATTTTGTAAAGTGCACACCAACTTGTCAGATTTAGAGGTAAAGAGTTTGAATTATCAAATCCAGGAAATAAGAAAAATGTGAATAATAATAATTAAAAAATAAATAAACTGCAAATGCACATATCTTCTTAGCTAAGTCTTATCACACTGGCCAGAATTTTTAGCAATACGTCTTACTCTCTTCTCTTTTGGCCTTTTCCTATACACAGCTAAAAATTCTTTGAAAATGAAAATTTGAGGTAACTCCTATTACCTGGGTGCTTGAGAATGAATAAGATGAAAGAATGCCATTTGTGATCCCAGCCCTCCTGACCTGTCTGGCCTATTCATCATCCCTATACAGACCTAAGTTTCAGACACACTCAGGGAACAATCTCACTAAACTCATTTTAAAACCTGTATTAAGGAAGATATTGAAAATGTTATATACTGTCACTGAACCCTTTTTTATGAGAATCCTCAGGAAAACATGGAGTTCTTCTGGATACCTGGTTTGTTCCTATTCTGTGGACATGAATTATTTACAGTCCACAAAGGCAATTTCCTTTTTGCCTTTGCCTCTTAGAAGTGTAAAGCCAATCTGGAGCAACTACTACAGAAGTCCATGCAATGAACCTGTCTGCTATTTTCATCTCACACTTTCACCGTTTAGTTCCCCCTATTTTTATTTTCATTATTAGTATTTTTTTAAACTATAGGATGTGGGGTAAATAAACAGATGAACTTCAATTTATCTATTCTATGTAACTTTTTGTCTTTGTTCATGATTTCTATAGGGGCGCATTTCTGAGCGACTAGAGCACACTATAGATGCTCGCTAACCATCCACTGCACCAGGAGAGAGTAAATGCTTCTCCTCTCCGTGCTTCCATAAAGCCTTTCAGTTTTATCTTAGTATTTTATAAGATATATTATAATCACTATTTTTATTTCCCTGTCCCTTCCACTAAATTATAAACAACTTTAAATGGACTGTGTCTCTAATTTCTTATTCAACATTATTCTCATTTTTGTATCATTATATTTTTAGCACATAAATTATTAAATGAATAAATAAAACAAATGAATTATAAATGCACAAACTCTTCCCTCTCCTCTGAAATCAAGCTCTACTTTCATACATTTCCAAGACACAAATTGCCGGGGTTCTTGTCCCAGCATCAAGAAAGGTTCAGGAATCTGGAAAAGGCGCTGTGCGGAGATGACATAGGAATCCAGAGACTAATAAAGAGTCTGGAGACGAGATATAATTTTGAAAGGCATTGGGGGTCAGAGGACCTTCAGCTAAAGGAACTGAAGACTCCCTCCTCGTCTAGGATCCTTGCTTTTATTAACACAATTTGTCCTAAGGCAAGGTGGAGATAATACACTTCAAAGGGTAAGGTTTCAAAGGGTACAGAAGCACTGTCTGTTTGGGGAATAGCCTACGGCTGTTCAGGTGTTTGGCCAGTAGGAGGCAATAACATGTAGATTAAGATGCCCTTTAACTGTCTGGCAGCCACAATCAGTTTCCTATTCAGGTTTGGGGAAATGCCTTTAGCCATTCCCAACAGGTGACGACATGTGTGACTCTACCCTGTTGAGTCCCCAAGTTTCATCAACCTTTTGATGAAACTCTTGAAATTATGACATGCTGGAATTGGTTCCTGGCAACAAATACTTTGAAAGAGGCAGTTTAAGGCAGTAGGAAGGATGTAGGCTTTGGACTAAGACAGGCAGATTTAAATCCCACTGTAGCCCTTCACCAGTAACTTAACCTCAGGCAATTTATCATATTTTCTTGATCCTAAGAGGTGCATCCTGACTTCAGAAAAAATAAATAGAAGCCTCTTGAGTCGTATCTGTTAAATGGAGATAATATCTACAGTTTGCTGGGGTGTATATAAAGAGATATTAAAGTTCAAGTGAGCCCTGGCCGGTTTGGCTCAGCGGATAGAGCATCGGCCTGCAGACTCAAGGGTCCCAGGTCCGATTCCGGTCAAGGGCATGTACCTTGGTTGTGGGCACATCCCCAGTGGGGAGTGTGCAGGAGGCAGCTGATCGATGTTCCTCTCTCATTGATGTTTCTGGCTCTCTATCCCTCTTCCTTCCTCTCTGTAAAAAATCAATAAAATATATTTTAAAAAAAAAAGTTCAAGTGAAATTTCTGATAGATAATAGGTGCCCCAAAAAGTAGTTTTTCTAAACAAACAAATAAACCCTTTTATTTTAAAACTAGTAGCCTGGTGCATGAAATTTGTGCACATTAAAAGGGAATTATTGCCCTAACCGGTTTGGCTCAGTGGATAGAGCATCGGCCTGCGGACTCAAGGGTCCCGGGTTCTATTCCGGTCAAGAGCATGTACCTTGGTTGCAGGCGCAGGCACATCCCCAGTGGGGAGTGTGCAAGAGGCAGCTGATCGATGTTTCTCTCTCATCGATGTTTCTAACTCTCTATCCCTCTCCCTTCCTCTCTATAAAAAAATTAATTATATTTTTTTAAAAAGGGAATTAATTAGCAAACTAGCCACCTGTCGATTCCGTAAGGAAAGGGGCTCCCTCTTCCCTCCTGTCCAATTGCTCCAGCAGCATTTGTTGAAAAGACTCTCCTTGCTCAAAATTCTGCATTAGTACCACTTTCAAAAATCATTTGGCTGTACTTCTGTGGGCTATTTCTGGATTCTCTATTCTGTATTATTGATGTATGTGTCTATCTTCTAACAATACCATAGTCTTTATCACTATGGCTACATATTAAGTTATAGAATCAAGAAGAATTACTAATTCCTACAAAAATACAACCTTCCAAAACTCAATCAGGAAGAATATAAAAATCTCAATAGGCCAATAACTATGGAAGAAATTGAAGCAAGTCATCAAAAAGCTTCCAGCAAACAAAAGCCAGGGGCCAGATGGCTTCACAGGGGAGTTTTACCAAACATTCAAAGAAGAACTAAAATCTATCCTCCTCAGACTATTCCAAAAAATTCAAGAGGAAGGAACACTTCCAAGCTCTTTCTATGAAGCCAGCATTACCCTAATACCAAAACCAGATAAAGACAACACAATGAAAGAGAATTACAGGCCAATATCCCTCATAAACATAGATGCCAAAATGTTGAACAAAATTCTAGCAAATCGGATCCAGCATTACATCAGAAAGATCATACACCATGACCAAGTAGTATTTATCCCAGGGATGCAAGGATGGTACAATATCCACGAATCAATAAATGTGATACATCACATAAACTAATTGAGAGATAAAAATCACATAGTCATAGCAATTGATGCAGAAAAAGCATCTGACAAAATCCAACACCCTTTCTTGATAAAAACCCTCAGTAAAATGGGAATAGAGGGATCATACCTCAACATAATAAAAGCCTTATATGACAAACCTACAGCCTACATCATACTCAATGGTCAAATACTAACATCATTTCCCCTAAGAACAGGAACGAGACAGGGATGCCCACTTTCACCACTCCTGTTCAACATAATACTGGAAGTGCTACCCAGAGCAATTAGACAAGAAGAAGAAATAAAAGGTATCCAAATGGGAAAAGAAGACATAAAACTGTCATTATTTCCAGATGACATGATACTATACATAGAACACTCTAAAGACTCCATCAAAAAAATTATCAGACTTAATAAATGAATTCGGCAATGTAGCAATTTGGTGATACAAAATTAACAACCAAGAAATCTATGGCATTTTTATACACCAATAGTGAACGTATAGAAAAAGAGATTAAAAAAACAATCCTATTTACCATCGCACCAAAAAAAATTAAGATACCTAAGAACAAACTTAACTAAGGAGGTAAAAGACCTATACTCAAAAACTACAAGACACTGAAAAAAGAGATAGAGGAAAACAAACAGATAGAAGAACATACCATGTTCATGGATTGGTAGAATCAACATCATCAAAATGTCCATACTACCCAAGGCAATCTACAGATTCAATGCACGCCCCATTAAAATACCAATGGCATATTTCACAGACCTAGAATGAACTCTCCAAAAATTTCATCTGGAATTAAAAAAAGACCCTAAATAGCTCCACCAATCCTGAGAAAGATGAACAAAGTAGGAGGGATCTCAATACCAGATATCAAGCTGTATTACAAAGCCACTGTTCTCAAAACTGCCTGGTACTGGCACAAGAACAGACATATAGACCAATGGAATAGAATAGAGAATGCAGCAATCAACCCAAATGCAGTAAAACTTTAAATAAATCACACCCACTCTAAGTATCAATGAATCATTGATATGCATTGCTGGGAGAATCAGTTTTAAATAATTTTGTCAAATTGTGCTTCTTATTAATTGTAGATTTTTTTTAAATGACCACTAAAGAATGATCTAACTTGTAACTTATGTTCTCCAGATACTTTTTAAAATTATTATACCATTAATGTGATTACCAAGCACCTAATTTTGGAAAGGCTTCATAACGTAAGTTTTCTTTTTTTCCCCTCAGCAAAAGTGTTAATCCCCCAAATTAAGTTAAAGCTTATTGTTGATAAATTCTTAATGAAAATGATAATATAATGCAGTGCTGAGGTGGTGAGTCAGAGCCCATTGTAGTGTGGACCCCATCTTTTATTGATGTGATCAAAAGTATGAGAGATCCACTGTTGTTCAAGAACTTTGTATCTTTCCTTACAAATGTAGAGAGGCTTGCCTCGCCTAGGGGAAAAAAAGGGAAAAAGGTATTAAAAGTAATAAAATACAATAAAGGTTTTTAAAAATAGAATTTTCATGGCAAAAATTTCACATAGTAATTTGGTTTATTTCATGTTTTCTTAGTAGGTTGATGAGGAAAATATCTCAAAAACTAGAAATAGCTCTAAATTAATGACTGTCAGAATTTCTTAATATAAAACTTGTATTATTACAAAGCTAGAAATGGCACATTGTTCTCACCGGACCAAATGTCAGTGACACACCTGCGACACCCACGCACTCTCACCTAAGATCCCGGTCTTCCTCTCCGTGCGCGTCCAGGTACACTGAGCCCCACAGGCAGAAGCGGTGCCCTCGGATGATGATGATCACCGACGCATTGACCAGGAGGAAAATCCCCGTGCCAGCACCGCAGTTCTGAGAATGCTAAAAGATTAAAAATATATCCAATAACTCCATAATCAAATGGACTTTACATAAGAAAATCAAAAATCCCTTAAGTAAATTTCTTCTAAATAAAACAGGCATATTTTTAAAAATTTTAATAAGATTTTATCTAAGTTAAATTTACAATCTCACTTCTAACATTTTATTAATAATACATTAGGAGGAATTTGGGTAAGGATTATCTAGAAGAGCGATTAAAAGCCAATGCCGGGGTGGAGGGACAATCGGGCAATAAGGACACATATGTAGTATCTTAATCAATAAAGAAAAAAAAAAGACTTTGTTTTTTCCAAATTGTTTTTGCTAGAATTTGAGAATGTTAAATAAATAAAACAACTTGGATCAATAGATTCCTTTTTATTGCTGATTAACAACTTGGATGGACATTGCATTAAACCAATATATTGATTTGGACAGAACTGACATCTTTACTATGTTGAGGCTTCCAATCCATAAACATATGTCTTTCCATTTGTTTAGATCTTCAATTTCATTAGCATTTTGTCTTTTCAGAATACAAACTCATAGCTTCTTTATTAGATTTACATCTAATCATTCCATTTTCTATTTGAGTAACTATAGATAGTAATGCATTTTTAATTTTGATTGCCACATGTTATATATATATATACAGAAATTTAATTAATGTTTGTCTTGTATTCTGACCTTGCTAAAATCATTTATTAGTTCTGCCTTTTATATTATATATTTATGAGATTTTCAAAGTAGATCATGTGATCTACAAACAGGGACAGTTTTATTTCTTCATTTCAGGTCTGTGTGCCTTTCAACCTTTCAACTTGGCTATATCCTGAAAGGGTATTTCTTGTAGACTGCATAAAGCTAGGTCATGTTTTTTAACCCATTCTGTCAGTTCCCATCTTTTAAGTAATATATGTACTTAATGTAATTACTTTTGTTACAATTCAAGTGTGGCTTTTTTGTTCACTGTTATGTGCACAGGATGATACCCAAACAACTGAGCCACACCAGCCTGGGCTGTATAACTTTTTAATGGTTGCCCTATACATTCACAACTTATTGCAGCCTACATTTTACCAGTTTGAGTGCAGTGTAAAATCCTTATCTCCCTTTACGTTCCTTTATCCTCCTCTATTAATAATTGTCTTAAATATTATCCTCTACATGCATCGAGAACTATATTTGAAAGATAATTTAAAAAACTAGAAACAAAGAAAATCTATTACATTTATTCATATTTTTGCTCTAAATGTTGTCCTTTCTTTCTTTCTACTCTTCCAAGTTTTCTTCTTTTATCTCCATCATAGTTAGAGAAATTCCTTTTGCGATTATTTGCTGGCAATCAATTCTTTTAGTTTTCTTCCTCTGAGAATGTCTTGATTTTCCCTTCATACAGAATACTGAATTGACAGTTCTTTTCTCCAAAACTTGAAAAATGTTGTGCCACTTCCTTCTGACCCCCATGTTTTCAGATCTGCTGTAATTTGAATTGATGTTTCCCTCTGGGTAATGAATTCTCTGATTTCAGGAACATTTGTGGTCTTTAGTTTTCACAAGTTTAAATAGAAAGTGTATTGGCATGGGTTTCTTTGGGAAAATCCCTGTAGGCATTCATTCACCTTCTTTAATCTGTTTTATGTCTTTTACCAAATTTGGGGAATATTTAGCCATTATTCCTTCAAATACTTTTTCAGCCTCTCTCTTTTCTGCCTCTCTTGCTGGATCCCAAGGATCCAAATGTTGTATCTTTTGTTATGGTTCTACCTGTTCTAAACCTCTATTCACTTTTTCAATCTATTTTCTCTCTATTGTTTAGGTAATTTCTATTTTTCTGTTCTCATGTTCACTGATTCATTCCTCTCTCCCTGTGTATTTTGTTGTTTGAGAACACTGAGTTTTTAATTCAGTTACTACATTTGTTTTAACTAATTTTGTTGTGATGAAATAGACATACCATAACATTATAACCATTTTTGTGTGTAAAATTCAGTGGCATTAAGTATATTCATAATGTTGTGCAACCATTCTATATCCATTTCCAGAACTTTTCCATCATCCCAAATAGAAACTCTGTACCCATTAAACAAAAACTCTATAAATTTTCCTATTCTAGGTACCTTATATAAGTGGAATTGTACAATATTTGTCCTTCTGTGCCTGCCTTATTTCACTTAGCATAATGTTTTCAAGGCTCATCCATGTTGTAGCTTCTATCAGAATTTCATTCTTTTTAAGGGTGAATAATATTCCATTGTATGTACATGCCAAGTTTGTTTATCCATTCATCTGCTGATGAATATCTGGGTTTTTTCTACCTTTTTGCTATTGTGAATAATGCTGCTATGAACACTGGTGTCCAAGTATCTGTTTGAGGGCCTGCTTTTAATTGGGATACACCTAGGAGTAGAATAGCTGGGAAAATACTGCAATCCTATATTTAACTTTTTGAGCAGCTGCTAAACTTTTTTCAACATGGCTGCACCATTTTTACTTTCCCACCAGCAACCATACAGGGCTCCAGTTTCTCCCCATCCTCACCAATACCTGTAATTTTCTGTTTTTTGTTTGTTTGTTTGGTTTTTGTTTTTTATAATAGCCATCCTAATGAGTATAAAGTAATATCTCATTGTGGTTTTGCATTTCTTTAATGGTTGGTGATCTTTTCATATGTTTATTAGCCATTGATAGACCTTCTTTGGAGAAATGTCTACTCAAGTCCATTATCCATTTTTGAATTGGATTTGTCGTTGCTGTTGAGTTGTAGTTCGCTATACTATATTCTGGTTATTAATCCCTTATGTGATATATGATTTACAAACATTTCCTTCTGTACATTTTTAATAAATTTTATTTTTTAGAGCAGTTTTATAGAAAAACTGATCAGGAATTCCAGAGATTTCCCACATACCTTTTATTTCCCCACCCCCAAACATACACACACTGTTTCCCCTTTGCTTTACATCTTGTAACAGTGTGGTACATTTGTTACAAGTGATGAACCAACACTGATACCTTATGATTAACTAAACTCCATAGTTTACATTAGGGTTCATTCTTTGGGTTGTAGATTCTATGGGTTCTGACAATTGTATACTAACATGTAACCATCATTATTGTATCAGACAGAATACTTCCCTAAAAATTACCTGCGCTCTATTCATCTCTCTCTCCCTCCAAGGGAGAGATGTTTTGTCTTTTTCAGGTTGCAGTTAAAATCAGAATATGTAACCTTTTCAGATTGGCTTTTTTCACCTATCTATATGCTTTCAAGGTTCCTTTATGTCTTTTTGTGGCTTGATAACTCATTTCTTTTTACAATTCCATTCTATGGATGCACCAGTTTATCCATTCACTTATTGAAGAACAATTTGGTTGCTTCTAAAATTTCCATTTGGTTCTTGTTTATATCTCTTTATATCTTTTACTTCTTTGCTGAGATTTTCTATTTTCTTTTCTATATCCCAGGTATGTAAAAAATGCTTGCTGAAGCATTTATAAGATGGCTGATTTAAAATCCTTGTCAGATCATTGTAATATCTAATTCATATCGATCCTGGCATATCCTGTCTTTTCTCACTGAAATTGAGATCTTCCTGATTTTTAGGATAAGGAGTGATTTTTTCTTTTAATTGAAACTTGGTATTCTAAGACTCTGGATCCTGTGTTTTAGTGGGCTTCCTGTGACACTGCTCCAGCTAGAAAAGAGGGACACTGCTTTGTTCCTGCTTGAGGGGGAGAGGGGAGGAAGTCCAGTTTTTACCCGAGGCTTCCATGGACACCTGGAGAAGGTGAAGCTCCTTGTTCCTGCTGGGCAGGGATGGAAGTTCAGGCTCCTCACTGGGCCTCTGCTGATACCACAACAGCAGGAAGAGCAGAGGTGCCTCGCTACTGCTCTCACATGTCCACCACTGCCACCGTGGGTGGGGGGACTTGTTCGTGCTGGGTCCTGGTAAAGCCCTAACTCTGCATATTCTCCTCGGACACCACTCCAGCAAGGAGGAAAGGAGGCACTTCACACCACCCGGTGGGGGTAGCTGCTTGTAGGCTCCCCATGTGCTTCACACACACACAATGGGGTTGGGAACTTCCCTTAAGGCCTTGTGGGCACAAAAGTCTTGGTTCCCAACTCAGCCTTCTTCTTTGACACCACCTTGTGGGGATGGAGAAGTTGGTGGGGGGAGAGGAGGGTATGAGGTGCAGCTGGGGCTTCTTGTTACAGCCTGGCAAGGTTAACCAGCTAGGCTCCTAGTCTTTGTGGGCAGAAGCGGGGCTATAGTTTTTCCACTGTGTTGCTTAGAGCAGGCAGTTATTGTCTAAAAGTAGTCTTCCTTGCTAGGCTGTCCCTTTCCTAGTCCTTTGGCTAGAGACAGACTGCTTTTCTGAGACTGTTTTTTGTCTGCATCCATTGTTGTTTCTGAGCATTCTGGAATATATGGAGCAAAAAAAAAAAAAAAAATATCTAGGAACTCACTAACGTGTCATTCTTGGTGTGTTGGGGTCCCTAGTCAGTCTTCCTTCTTCCTCCCGCCTCTCAGTGTTCTATGCTTGTTTCATACATAATGTTCAGGGTTTTTAGCTGTACTTAGTAAGAGGATTATGGAAAAGTAAGTCTACTCCTTCTTCCTACAAGAGGCAATTTCTTTCAATGACCTTAAACACCTGGCACACAGTTGGCACTCACTGACTCAGACTCTGTGTATCAAAACGGTTAAGATAAAAATGAAAAGATTTTAGACCCAGAAAATAAAACCATAAGCCAGCACTGAATTAATGTTCTCCACCTTCTTATTTTAAAATAGGCCCCAGCCAAAGTTAATTCAGGGAAATAAATACATATGTAAATTAAGTGTAACCTGTAATTTCAGTGTAGAGATGAATTTATCTTGAGTTCTCACTTGTTGTTCTAGCTGGAGAGTATTCTGGTATTTTCCAGCTTCGGAAACTGGAGCCCCTAGACCAAAATCATGTTCTTTGGTGGTAACCTAGTGGAAAGAATAGGAATAATACCAGGACATTCTTTTTAAAACAGCTTTGTGATTTCTCACAACAGTATATAAACTTTTTAAATTAACCACATTCTTAGGTACATTTTCAATTGGTTTTAACCTTGTCACACCAGCAAAGAATATTTCAGCAAGTTTTACTTCCTTAACATTTTATGTTATAAAACTTTTTCTGTGTGCTTTCCAAATATGAAACTACAATATTGAACATGCTTTTCAAAAGAGACATACCCGATCCTATCCCCTTGGTAATCACTGTACTTAGAAAATATTGGGTCAGCAGCAAATTAAGTATCTATCTCTAGGCCTGTGTTTTCCAAAAAGGTTTGCTACCCATATCACAAAGGGCTGGCTTCTTTCTAATCCTATATAATAAGGAGGTAATATGCAAATTGACCATCACTCCAACACACAAGATGGCCGCCCCCATGTGGTCAAAGATGGCTGGCAGGGAAGGGCAGTTGGGGGGACCATGCCTGCAGGGGAGGGCAGTTGGGGGGAACCAGGCATGCAGGGGAGGGCAGTTAGGGGTGACTGGGCCAGCAGTGGAGGGCAGTTAGGGGTGACTGGGCCGGCAGTGGAGGGCAGTTAGGGGTAATCGGGCAGGCAGTGGAGGGCAGTTAGGGGCAATCGGGCTCGCAGGGGAGCAGTTAGGCGTCGATCAGGCTGGCAGGGGAGTGGTTAGGGAGCAATCAGGCAGGCAGGCAAGCGAGCAGTTGGGAGCCAGCAGTCCTGGATTGTGAGAGGGATGTCCAACTGCCCGTTTAGGGATCGGGCCTAAATGGACAGTTGGACATCCCTCAAGGAGTCCCAGATTGGAGAGGGTGCAGGCTGGGCTGAGGGACACACACACACACACACACACACACACAAAACCTTGCATGAATTTCATGCACTGGGCCTCTAGTGTATTAATAATTCCTATAAATAAGAAAGGAAAAGAAATACCTTGGTAGAAAAAGTGGCAAAGAATATGGATACTTCACATACATGACTTTTAAATAGATTTAAAGATACTCAATCTCACCAGTTAGAGGGATACAAATTGAAGCAACATTGGATACCATTTTTAAACTCACACTGGCAAAGATAAAATAGTTGGATATATAACATAGTATTGTTATACACCACTGGTGGCAGTGTATATGACACAATACTTATGAAGATCAATTAAATAAAATCTACAAACATTACAAATACTCATAGCTTCTATACAAATAATCCCATTCCTAAGAATTGTTCCCACATACATATTTGTACATGTGCAAAATAACAAGATATTTCACTTGAAAATACTACACATACTAATCCACATTGTACATTTTTACTTGACAAAGTGTCTTAGAAATTGTATAATTTAGGAAAATAATTTGTTCTTTTCCTGAATCAAGGCTGCCTTTATGTTAAGGAAGAGAGAACTTCCTACAAGTATCTTAGATCTCTCCTGGCAACACAGCTGTTATACTCCAGAATCAGGATCCCCCAGCCACTAAGATCATGTCACACAATGTCTAATCCAGCACTTAGCAGTGTGACAGACGTCTCTTCCTTTTTTCCTTTTCCTAAACAAAACACAAGTCTGTGTTTCTGTTCTTCACTCCAGCAGTTATTGCCTCACTTGGAACTTAGCATTAGATCCCACAGAGTATTTCTAATTATGAATCGTCTATGCCTTTATGGGGTAGGCTGAAATCCAATTCCTTATACAGTTTCTCTTGAAAAATATGTTCCTACTTATAAAAATTTGATTTAGAATAACAGAATCAAATGACTCCTCCCTATAGTACTTTTCAATTTTTTCAGTGAATATACAAATCACTTGGGAATCTTACTAAAATGCAGATTTTCATTCACAATATGCCTGAAATACTGCATTTCCATAAAGCTGCTCAGCAATCCTTATTGGGCTAGTATAGAGACTAGACCCATAAAACATCCCATAAAACAAGCATTGAATTAATATTTATTCTTCATCTTCTTATTTTGAAATAGGCCTCAACCCAAATTAATTCAGGGAAATAAGGTACAGTCTAAGCCTACCTAGCATTCAGAGCTTTTATAATTCGGTCCCTTCCCGTGACTCCAAATTTATCTCCTACTTGACACCTCCAAGAATCCCTCAATTAAGGACAAACTATTCCAAACTACTCCACATTCTTTATACATTCAGAAACATGTTATCTTTTTTAAAAAAATATATATTTTATTGATTTTTTACAGAGAAGAAGGGAGAGAGATAGAGAGCCAGAAACATCGATGAGAAAGAAACATCGATCAGCTGCCTCCTGCACACTCCCCACTGGGGATGTGCCCGCAACCAAGGTACATGCCCTTGACCAGAATTGAACCTGGGTCCTTTCAGTCCACAGGCCGACGCCCTATCCACTGTGCCAAACTGGCCAGGGCAGAAACATGTTATCTTTTATTCGTAAGCCTTGCCCTCACCCTTTTATCCATTTAACTAACAATGAAGACATTCCTAGGGTTCAGCTAGAATTCTAGATTCTCTAAGAGGTTTTCTTTGTCTTCTCCATCGAATAGTGATCACTTCTTCAATGAGACTTTTGTATATAGTCGTTATAGAACAACTTATGTAGCCATTTGGTTTTCTGGATGTACATCTCCCTCACATGGTCATTAGAATGTTAAGAACAAGCAATGTCCTAGAGCTCGCTGTACTGCCCCAGCCTGCACAGAGCTGTCTGTGATAGGAAGGTATCATAAAATTTAGTAGATGTGACAAAGAAGCAGTGTACCACAGCAGATGCAATTGAATATTCCTTCTTCTCTTTGGGAATCTCAATAGTCAAGTGGGGGTTCCATAAAATAACCCATCAGACTAATCTAGAAATTAAAAGTAGGAAGAGGCCAAGAGACTATCACAGTAGAGCTGCTACTTTCCCTGCACTAGCTTAGGAGGCAGTAAAAAGGGAGATAAACCAATGTATCTGAAATGCCCTTGTCTAGCCTGCCACCAGAATATTCTCCACATTCCCATGATCTTTAAATGGATTATGAATGGAACTTGTGTTCCTGTACAGATCTCAGAGAATGCAAGTAAAAGTACTGTGCGAGCAGCAAACTGTTATCATAAACATCCAAGTGAGAACCACAATCATTCTCAATTGGGAAGTAACATAGCATAGTGGTTAAGAGTGTGTTCATTAGCATCAGACTGTTCATGTTCATCATGCTAGTTCTGCCGCTTCTTAGCTGCATGACTAGAGGCAAGTTACTTCTCTGGCCAAGCCTTCACCTATAAAATGGGAATGATAACAGTACTCGCCTCAAAGAGCTGCTATGAGGATTCATATAAGTAAAGCACTTAGAAAAGTGCCAGACTAAGCAAGTCTATATATATAATTATTATTATTAACCATTACTATTATTCCTAATTCTTCTCAGTGACTCAACTTATCTAATTAGCCATCAAGTCCTACTGATTTTTCACTAAAATCTCTCTCAAATTCATATCTTCCATTCCTATCACTGTTTCAGTTCATATTATCAGACTGTAACAGTCACATTTATTCGATTCTCAAATTTATAAACACAGTAATGATGACCCAATATTAGATTCTGGGGACAGAAATGTGGAAACCAAATTAAAAGCTATAATTTCAACCCGCAATGATCTAGGGAACTCCAGAACTAATAAATCAGAAGTTAGAGTACAGCAGGATTAGTGCACACTAGAGGAATGAATGCACACGGATGCTAAGGGAATATAGAGAAAAGGACTACAAAAGAGTATTTCTGAGTTCTACTTCCCTCCAAAAGACATAGCATGGATTTTACATGTTCCCCAAAAACTATGAACACACCCTATCGGAGCACATTATATTGTGTTTATTGGAAGTCCACAGCCATTGCAACTTAACTTGTGTAAAACAGACCTCTAATTCTCCCACCTGCAGTCTGCTCTCAGCACGCCTCCACTAGGCTCCTTCCCAGTCTCTCCCAGGTCAAATGGCAGTGCCTAAGGCAGTGCCAGAGGAGTCACCTTTGTCTCCTCTTTCCCTGATCCCCATCAAATGCATCAACAAGCCCTGTTGGTTCTAACTCCAAACCCACCACTTCTCTACACTTTTATTACCACTTCCATGGTTCAAGTCACCATCATGTCGCACACGGATTACTGCACGTTTCCTAACTGGTCTTTCTGCTTCTATGTTGCTCCCTGCAGCTATTTTCCAAACGGAGATCAAAAGAATCACTTTAAAACAATGAGATCCTCCTCAAAAACACTCCAATGGCTCCTCAATGAAATTAGAATAAAACCCACCGTTTTAAGGTCCTGTGTGATTTGGGCCCTGCCTTCACTTTTCTAAACAGACCTAGTACTCTCTTCCGGCTTTATCAGTTTTCTTTCTGTTCCTCTACTGAACCACTATCATTCCATGTTAAGGCCTAGCCTATGGCTGACTCCATCTTACCCCCAGCTCAGCTCTTGGGCTCTTCCCTGACCTCTTACCTAAATAGCCTCTCTCCTAGTCACTCTCTTGTTAGGTTATTTACACTTATATCATTTGAAATTATATAATTTATTTCTTCACTAGTTTTCTCCCCCTACTAGAAGGTAAGCTCCAAGAAATCTAGGCTATCTGCTCACTGTTATAGCTGTAATGCCTAGAAAGGTGCACAGCACAAAATTGGTACTCAATAAAACATCTACACTAACAAAAGAGAAAGATGCAAATTAACCATCAAGCCACACCCACCAGCCACGCCCACCAGCCAATCGGGAGCCAGTATGCAAATTAACCCAACTAAGATGGCCATGGCCAGGAAGCTGGAGTGAGCAGGAGGCTTGGGTTGCCCCCGGCGATGGAAGAAGCCAAGCTTCCCGCCTGCCTTGACGGGCCCTGGGCTCCACTCAAGGCTATAAAGTTTCAATTATAGAAGATAAATAAATCCCAGATACCTGCTTCCAGGCCACCCTGGGAAAAAAAAAAAGAAAAAAAGGAGAGGCTGAGAACTTGGGTCGCAGGGGAGCATGGCCAGCCTGAAAATGGCACTCAGCCCCTAACCCAGGCTGACCAGGCACCCCAGCGGGACCCCTCCCCCACCCTGAAGGGGCTGTGGCCAGCCTGAAAACAACCCTCAGCCCCTCACCCAGGCTGGCCACACCACCATGGGGTGAGGGTCCCCACTGGGGGGCTTGACCAGCCTGCAAACAGCCATCAGCCCCTCACCCAGGCTGGCCAGGCACCTCAGT